TTGCTATGGCATCCAGTTCACAACCTGCTTAACCAGACATCAGTTTCTACTGTTTACAGTACGGATGACTGCAACGAACTCAAATCCACTACATCAGATGACTGAATGTGAATGTTGTATGGCTACAACATACATCCACGGAGGCATGATTAGTACCCTAGGCCATCAGAGTTCAGACAGGGAACATTTGTTTTGTTAACTAGATTCACTATTAGTCAAACCAACTAGACACCTTAATCCCAAGATCCTCCAGGCTGTTAGTCCGGGGCATCTTGGGAGATTCCTTAGCACTTTGCTTCTCCTCCTCTTCATCTCTGTGAAGTCGGGCGTCAATGACGTCATCAAAAGTGGATAGGAGGGACATCAGGTTTACTTCACGTAGTGAGTTTCTGGGCTCTTTAGTGGGAACAGAAGTCATTTAAATAGGAAACTAATTGCGATGTTATGTATATTTCTTATCAGTAACAGTGACATATATATTCATGCAATGATTTCTTTCCTGAAAGATAGAAACACATGTTTTGAGAATGTTTTCCTTGGAGTTTCTTAAACCTCCATGTAGGAAAAACTGGACAAAACCTTGGAAACAGACTAGTATGGGCTTAAAGTGACAGAAGCACACCTTTATTGGAGAAGTCTATGCCAGCCGTTAGTCCAGGAGCTACTGTCAGCAAATCTAGTGAGAGAAAGACAGACTGATGAACTTTGGAGATCCATCCAACCCCATATCCTGTTCCGGGTCTAGGGGGGGAGATTCTGGAGGCTATTCCACTTAGCATACAGCAGAAGGCAGGGCTGCATCTTGGACAGGATGCCAGGCCACACATGCACACGCTACAATTTGCAGAGACCAATTAGCAATGAACGGCATGTCATTGGCCTATTGCAGGAAATAAAGGACCTTGACTAACATGGAGAGAATCCCCAACCCTTAAGGTTTGAGGCAACAGCAATTATGAGAATTATCATTACAAATTTGTATCATGCACTACATAATAATGTTAATTACTTGTACACAAGAATAAAATGGCCCACATATATAGCCCTGGAAAAATTTAAGAGACCAAAGCCACACTTTTAGTTTAACTTATTTCTCAGTTTATGAAAATGCATCTGTGTAAAATATACATTTTTTTGCAAACTCCAGCCTGGCTCTTCCCTGCTTCTCATTGATGAAGGGCTTCATTCTTGGTTTATGGGACTGCAGTCCTGCTTCTAGGAGCCTGTTATGAACTGTCCTAGAAGTGCACTTCACACCACTTAATGTTTCCCATTTTCTATGAAGGTTACTTGAGGTCATCCTCCGATTTATGAGGCACTGCTGGATAAGTTGACGATCATCTCTGCCATTAGAAAATCGCTTCTGCCCTCTACCTGACTGGTTTTTGGTCGTTCCCAGTGTCTCCTGCTTCATCTTGTTCTTGTGTGCTGCTGTCTTAGAAACTTTGAGCCTGGAAGCAACCTGCCACACAGTGCAGTCTTCTGCCAGCAGAGCCAGGATTAAACCAGGATTTAACAATGCAGATTTAAAAAAAATTGAGTGGTCTCTTAATTTTTTCCAGAGCTGTATATATTTTGAGGCTAAGTGATAAATGAATGACTTGGCAGTCAGGACTATAACCAAATCCTGTTGCTCTTTGCCCGTCTCCTTTCCTCATCTCTGTGCCAGGGACTCCCACCGTTCTCAAAGTCCACTTCCTCCTGCTTTTCTGACTTCTTTTTGATCTGTTCCAGGGTCAGCTCCTCCATTCCCCCTGAGTCAGCGAGAGACACCAGTCAGCCATTCTTTCCTTTGTGTTATGATTCCCGCAGCGTCCCTCGCGCTCCCACCAGTGCTACAAAGTCACATGGCGTGAGAACTACCATAAAGTAGCATGGTGAAGAGAGCCAAACTGATGACGCATCCTCAGCACTTACATAAACTTGTAGATTAACTGTGTTAATTAAAATTACTCTATGCCTTCGGTTTGTTTTGCATTTTTGGGCACTACTGTCTGCTTACACTACTTGCATTGAGTCATTTTTGTTGTGTATTGTTTTTAATTAGAGTTATTTTTTATTTCCCTACCTTGAATTCTAACTATCTAATGCTCTGAAGAATCCTAATTTTGTTTCATGTGTGTGAAACAATACAGTGATTTGACTTGACTAGAGGCTACCCTAACCCTAAAGAGGTCACAGGGTAATATAATCACTGCAGACCTACCGGGCAGAAAAGGGTAGTTGGTGTTGCTCCCACGCAAGCTCTCCGAGGGGGGGCCTGGGGCACGTAGAAGTGAAAGAGAATTCTTTGCTGACAAACTGGTATCCTCTAACAGCACCTGGATGAGAGAAAAAAGTGCACATGTCATGTCTGTTCTGGTACTGCGAAATAAAGTTGAATTTCAGAAGCTAAATCATAACAAGCACGTGTTACAATCATGCTTTACATAAAGTAGAGCCTTGACCCCTCCCCCCATAATTAGACACCTGTGAAAGCCAGTAAAAGGCTGTATCAGTGTCTACCTCATTAAAGTCAAGAAGCACTCCTGTGGTTGGGTCTCGTACAACGGACAGGCCGGAATGCAGAGGGGAGGGGGAGCAGTGAAGCAGAGAGTCAATTTGCCGGTTTCTTTGGATCAGCCTGAAAACACACATGGAGACTGTGAGGATATACCCATGATGCACTGGCATTAGAGATATGCAAATAGGGACAGACAGCTACAGAGACCCAGAAATAGCCTGAGAGTCAAAAGGGGGATTATGATATTTATTTGCATAGTAATTGAAATAGAAAAACTCAAATTCACACGGGATAGCAGAAAGTCAGATGTCGGACAGAAAAATGGCACCCAAAATGTTAGCATGCACACAAATTATATATATATATGTGTGTGTGTTTTTTTTTTTATAGTTTTGGATTTTTGTCTTTGGTACACATTTGGTACACCCAAAGTCAATTTTCTGGCTATGCTACTGAGTCAGACTGTATTACCTGAGGAACTTCTGGAAGGCAGAGTCTGTGTTATGTATAGGAAGCCACTCTGGGTCACTCAAGAAACGTCTTTCTACTTCTGTCCGAAGGTCAGGGCCAATGGGAGGGAGGCCATGAGGCAGCTATTGGCATGGAAAGGAGAGAGAATGAATATACGGTGCTCACACAGAGAATTATGGCGCTCACAAAGAGTCATACGGCGCTCACACAGAGTCAAACGGCGCTCACACAGAGTCAAACGGCGCTCACACAGAGTCAAACGGCGCTCACACAGAGTCATACGGCGCTCACACAGAGTCATACGGCGCTCACACAGAGTCTTGGGATATTTGCTTAATTCAGTAAAAATACTGCAGATTTATTGGTTTCGTAATAAAAATCCTCACTGTAGTCATTTGTCTACAAATACATCACATTAGAAACAACCAGTAGTTTTAAGTAAAACCTCATTTCAAATAGTAATACATTGAAACCCAAATTATAGTTCTAACAGAGCTATTCTGAGTTAAAAACTTCATTGACAAAGTCTGCTTTTATTAGTAACACCTTTGAAATAACATAAAACACCAAATATTTGTGTTTAATATCATTTTGGCAGCAATTAACAGCAAAATGGGAAGAAGACAACTGAATGAGATCCACTTCTGAAAATGTCTGTGCAGAAGGTATGTGCAGATGTTAAACATTGCAATAAATTTGCAAGATCTTTACAGAATTAAGCAAGCATCCCAAGACTTTCTGTGAGCGCTGTGTATAGGAAAGTGTAATTAGCAGGTGGGGCATTAAAATGAAGATGTGACACCCATGTTAAATACTCACAGTGCTCAGTGGGGGTAGGGTTTGGTTCTTCGGTACAGGGTTTGAGAGCAGTTCAAACCTTCCCGAACAGCCCATCTCCAGCAGTGACAGAGGAAGGTCATCAGGACCTGCTGGAGAGATCTCTATAACGAGAAAAGACATTTGTCTATGAGCACTTGAATACTGCAGCTGTAGTGCATGATACAACGAAATGTCATCATCATAATATTAATATAATATAGTATTAATATAACACAGAAAGCAACTGGTAGATGAAAAGTTTTGCTATTTCGAATATTCGGTACATGTCTGTTGTCGTGATGTTTTGAATCAAGCCCATTCCTTCATACAAAATATAATTTAAAAAATCGTAATTTGATGGGCTACTAGGTATTTACATAATCCTGTAACGTGTAGCCCGGATAACGGTCCATTACAGAGTCATAGTTTGCAAAAATATACTTTTTGGAGCAAGAAATTCCGTAAATCATATCCGGTACTCACTTGTCACTTTCTGGCGTATTCCATGACAAGCCAGAGACACTGAATCGAAAGTGTACCCATATCCTCCACCCATGAATTTAAATGCAAAATTATGACACTTTCTAAAATATACGTAACAACCATGTTTAAAATATATACATATTGCAACAAAACAATTACTACTTCATGCTATACAGATATACCAGGACTACAGATGCTATAGTATTGTTAGCTTTGGCATCTGTGGTAACTTTAGTATATGTCATTCGCAACAGCTAAAACAGGCCGAGGCTTTGCAATTAGGATATTGTACATAACATTAGCAATAAATCATATATCCATATATCGATCTCACAGAAATTGTTACCTGTTTTTTCCATCACTCTCAATTCAGTTACACTTCTTCTGAGTTAAAGAAGTGGGAACGACCATGGGAGCGACAACTCAGCAAGCAGAAGGAATCTATGGACGGAAGTAGGGGGTACGAATTAGTGAGGGAGGAAAGAAAATAGTCTTTTACTCGTTAGCTAATGCTTAACTTATTGAGATTATCCTTAATAAATTGAATATAATATGTTTTAACATGTGGCTTGGTTTTATTGTAACATGTCTTTGTTGAGGTAGAACTGAAATATCCAGCTCCCCCCTCCATTCTTTATACTTAGTCTCTCCCAGGGTTCGCGTCATATTCTGCGCCAGTGTTGTGGTAGTGTAGCGAGCTCCTGCGAGTGTGAGGTAAATAAATTTCAGTATCGAAGAGGGACATGAATTACCGCGGATCCGAGACTAATGATGTTTCCGCTAATTTGATTTTTAAGGGATTTTTTTTGTATATATAGGTGTATGTCATTAAGTGTTCGGGTGGCGGTTTCTGGTTGGTATTGGGTGGTCCTGATTCTTCAGATGGTGTTGGCTAAGAAAGTAATGTCTGCTTGACTAACGTGTGCAAGTGAGCCAATTTATCCACCAACAGTAATTCCCATGCCATGTTTTAAAGTTAATTAAATCGCAAATCATTGCATATGCTAGACACAGGAATGATTGTTTTCGGTAAATCAATTCGTTTGAGTTCACTGATTCGTTCCCTTTCCTTTTAATATTTTTCGCTGCTGGGGGGTTCTCTTGAAAAGATTTATGTTAATTAAATGAATTTTATTGATTATATTTGATGTTAATAGTAGTATTACTCTTTCAGACACACATATATGCTATTAGACCAGTTGGTGGCGAAAGTGTATGGTGACCAAAATCAACGAATTTCCCTCACTTAAAAGCAGAATTTGTTAACGAACGATAGAAGTCTAATTTATTCGTTGTTGTGCTTGGTGCATACATCGGTAGTTGTTAAAATTAGTTGTTAACCTACCAGTTTTGAAATCCATAGGCGAATGTGTTTCCATTTGTCAGACAATGTTTTAAAATGTTAATTTTTTCACTAGGGCAACATGGTTGTGTTTCCCAGTTCCTTGACAGAAGAAGAGGAGGCACTGCAGAAGAAGTATGCCAAATTGAAGAAAAAGGTCTGACCTCTCATCTAGTCCATCACTTGTCATGATATCTCGCACAAAGCTGTTCAGTAATGGGTCCTTCATACACAACTTCTCATGTTAGTGCAAATAATTTTCTTTCATAAATCACTTGTCCTCATATATATTTCAGGAATGTAATAAAGTGAGTATCAGCAATGCATTACATAACTTTCCAAAACTGACATTAAACTTGTTGCATTTTGCTTTTTATTCTTTCCAGCTCAGTTTTACTTTAGCATGAAAACATCTATGATATAATTATAATAATAGTAAATTAGTCATGCTGTTGTCGTCCCCTCTGTTATTTTTTATCTCCTTAGAAAAAGGCTTTATTGGCTTTGAAGAAGCAAAGCTCCACCAGCCAGGCAAGCCAGGGAGGGCTCAAGCGCAGTAAGAGACCAGCACCCTCTGTAACCTGTCTGCTGCTTCCCTTTGCTCGTCAGCACCCTCTGTAACCTGTCTGCTGCTTCCCTTTGCTCGTCAGCACCCTCTGTAACCTGTCTGCTGCTTCCTTTTGCTCGTCAGCATCCTATAGCTCTCTCTCTCTCTCTCTCACACATGCATACCCTCTTTCTCTCTCTCGCTCTCTCTCTCTCTCTCTCCTGTCAGGTTTTATCAATTCCTTCTTTTTCATTGTGTGGTCCTCCAGAAGATTTTTGTAGTGTCCTTACATCCATCAAAAACACTTCACAGATGTCTCACTGATCAAATATCAGTGAGCTTCTTCAGTACTGCTGTTGTAGGTCTGGGATGGGATTACATTCTGTAGTAGTAAGAAGCTTGCACTTTGTTGTTTCTGTTGATCAAGCTAATTTTTTCAGTAAAAAAAAAAAAAAACTTCTTCTGAACAAGAAATGCAAAAGTGGTATTGCTCAGGGGTGGAAAAACAGTGTCTAGGCCTAGTTTTGAAGTCAAGATCTGAAGGCGCTGACCAGATTTCTACTCCATATGTACATCTTTGTCTCCACCCCCTCAGCCCTGTCTGACCAGCCTGTGCTGGACACCGCAACGGCCACAGAACAAGCCAAGATGCTAATCAAGTCTGGGGCCATAAGTGCCATCAAGTCAGAGAATAAGAACTCTGGCTTTAAACGCTCACGTACGCTCGAGGGAAAGCTGAAGGTAACGCGTGTCGCACAGGGACAAACCGATCGTTATGCCATTAAATTACCTTTTGTGGCAACTGAAATACATACACTTATTCAGAGGAATGTGATGCCTGGTTCATGTTCGTTGTTCTCAGGATCCAGAGAAAGGCCCTACCCCAGCCTTCCTTCCTTTTCAAAGGAGTGTCTCCACAGATGAGGAGCTACCAGAGGTACCTGCTCATAGGGAAAGCTAGTGTAGTACTTCAGGATTTTTAAATGAGAGTTTAATGCTGGTCAGTGCCCCAAGTAAAGCTCGTACCAGGAAGTAATCCCTGGCTTAACCTGTCTACTTACTCGCACTGGTCTTCAGGACACTGAGTTTTGTAGTTGTGGGGACAGACTGACTGTCTATTTTGCTAACACTCACCTCTTCTGCCTGGGCTTTTATCTCCAGTCTGGAAAAAGAAGTCACAGAAAATCCCTCTATGAGAGGTAAGCATACATTTAAAAACAACATAAAGGAATGGGTGCCTTAATGTGTGTGTATATGTTGTATTCCTGTGCTTACTTAGCTAACGTTGTCTCCCCGTAGCTTTGTCAGCTCAGCCGATCGTTCTCGTGACGAAGAAGATGGGGGCGGCTCGTCTTTCTCAAACCGTGAAGCTGAGAGAGACCGTGACCGGGAGATGGACAGGGAGAAGGACCGCGATCGTGAACGTGATCGCGATCGAGACAGAGATCGTGACCGGGGCAGGGACCGTGACCGAGACAGAGACCGAAGCAGAGACAGGGACCGAGAGCGGGACCGTGACCGGGACAGAGACAGGGACCGGGAAGCTCCCTTTCGGCGTGAGTTGTTCCCTCGCTTTCATTCTTGTCTTATTACTGTTTATTGTTTGCCAGACTATGTAGCCTCAGTGAAGCAAAAAATTTGCTTTTTTTTTCGTGACCAGGGTCAGACTCGTACCCAGAGCGGAGGGGCGTGAGGAAGGGGAACACAGTCTATGTGTATGGTGCCGGCCTGGTGGAGGACAGCCTGCGGACTGCCTTCTCGGAGCACGGCAACATCATCGACCTGTCCATGGACTCCCCTCGCAAGTATGATGGAAACCAGTCATCTGCAAAAGCACTACATTGCTTGGACAGAACCTCATAGGACAGGGAGTATCTATAGTCTAGGTCAGGGAGTATCTATAGTCTAGCTCAGGGAGTGCCCTATATCACGTCCCTGAAGGCTACAGGGCTGTCTGTTCATCTTGGCAATATATAGTGATGTGTAGCTAGGAACCTATATCATGATTCTGCTTCTGGTTTGTTAGTCTCTTCCTTGCCTCAACTGCTGTTCCTTTCCAGCTGTGCATTCATTACGTTTGAAAAGATGGAGGCAGCGGACCAGGCTGTGGCCGAGGTCAGTATCACTGACACCAAATCCCCGCCCACTGACCCCAAGACCCCGCCCACACTTCACCTTCCTCTCTCTCCCTTCCCATCTCAGCTGAACGGCACCACCGTGGGCGACACCCCGATCAAAGTCAGCATCGCCCGGAAGCAGCCCATGCTTGAGGCTGCCACGGGAAAGTCACCTTGGGCGTCTCTAGGTACCTGCCGCAGAACCCTCGTGTTTTCCTGCCGCACCGCATCCCCAGTTTTTATAAAATACACATTTGCCTAATAATGCTGCATGCAATGTATGAGTTAATCCTTCCTCCTTATCCCCAACAGCTGTCCAGAACAGTGCAAAGGGCTCATACAGGGACAAGAGGAATCAGGTTGTGTACAGCGAAGACTTTCTCTGATGTGCCAACGGACGACTCCAATTCAGAGCTGACCTCACAATAGTGCTTATAAAGTAGGTCCAGTGTCGCCGTATTTCGGACCTGTAGCTGCTTGTCTTACTTCTAGTAAAATTTTTGTTCAGTTCCATGAAGCCACATTCTCTGTATCAGGTGGATCTTTTAAATATTTTGTCTGTACTTTCTTTTTTTTATGTGCGACCATGGATTGGTTTTGCAAAAGAATAATAAAAATTATGTTTATGAAGGAATTTAGTGCTTATATTCACATTGTAATATCACACTGAAATTCATACACATAAACAATTATGGAAATTCACTTCCATTCCACATCACACATGAAAAAACAAAACAAAAATTTGACCCCTCCCCCCAGTTACCAACATCCTGGCCTCATAACTATATTAACTAGTTACTAGTTAATTTTCATAGTAAAGTGCCAGGCTCCTGTATTATATTTTATTTTTTGTTATATTTCATTCTTCCCCTTTATGGCAAAGTCAATAACCGAAAAAATCATCGCAAAGCTGACCCTTTCTCTTCATTAATATTCCAGAAGGCTCCTACATTATTTAAGGCCTAATTCTTCAGATTATAAACCCACTAGGTTATTAGGTTGTAACCTATACTGTTCATTCATTGTTCAGGGAGCCATGTTATTTAGGTTGCTCTCTCACTTTCTCCTTTTTTCCTAGGGACAAAATCTGCCATTTCCTTTCCCCAATTTTCACATATTTGGTTTGACACCACAGACATAAAGTAAATCATTTTTGTTGAAGGTCCATGGTATGTTGTTTTTCAACCAAAAAAATATTAAATGTGAGTGCTGTTAATAATTCCACACATACTAAATATCGTGCCAGGCATTATATAGATAAATGCACACAGTGCATGCTTTTCCCCTATTAATTCATACACATCACACCATGTAAAAAACAAAATTGTTTTAATGTTCGTATTAGACATGAAAAATATAGCTGTTTGCAACAACGAGAAAATTACCTGTAGATGTTTCAAACATGAATATGACCATTTTAGTAACAATGAAACATGGACAAACTGCATTGGGGAAACAGGACATGAAGGTAACAGTAATTTTACAGTAGATTACTCTTTGTACGTTTCAGTGTTCATTTTACCAAATTCTGTTAAGATTACTGACGACAGAAGTAACACATTGTAACTTTTTTAACGTGCTTTACCTAAACTAAAACAATGGCATTAAACCTTCTTAAAAACCAGCCCCTAACTGTACATCACAGATGAAAAGGCAAACAGGAACCAACCTACGACCTTTGGCCAACATCACAGGTTCTACTATCGCGGGGTGGGCAATCTTATCCTTAACCTTTAGGTCAGCTGTTCACACCAGATGTGAGGACTCTTCAGCCAAACAGTCCTCCAATTACTAATCTAATTAGGGAGTTGCAGCAAAAACCCACACACCCAACAACCCTTTCTGGATAAGACTGAACATCCCTGTACTATCGGATAACGTCCTGGAGTTAAAACAGATTGCTTCTTCACAAGCAATGTTCAAATGTGGGTTGAACTTCTGTCTGTTCCCAACCCAACTGAGATTCTTGCACAAATGGTACCCTGGCACTGAGTTTTGGTCTGGTTGTGGAAGAACACCATCAAGACCAATGGAACTAAATAATTATCTCTGATCTAAAGAAGTCATACTGGAAATATCCCTTCTAATCGCAGAGTAACCGGACCAAAGCATGTCGTCCTCTACCCATTCAGCTCCTCTCCTTGCCAAGAGCCCCTTTTCAATCCAAATTCTCCATATTGTTGCTTTGCTCCCAGCCCTCCTCAGAAATCCAATCTTGCCATATCAGAGCTTTAAAGCGAGCACCCAGTAAGAGAATGAATCAGAAACAACCCCTCTGTCAGACCCCCCCCTCATCTCTCTCCCTGTCCCTCTCCCTCTGGGCCTCCATACAATTCTGGGCAGTGGTCTTTCCGTGTTGCTCCTTGAGATGGCGCCGCAGGGCGGGTTTGTGGGCGAAGCGCACGTGGCAGTAGGAGCAGCGGTGCGGCCGCTCGCCGCTGTGCAGGTTCATGTGGTCGCACAGTGTTGACTTCTGCGTGAAGGTCTTGTGGCAGAGGTGGCAGCGGTGGGATTTGGTGCCCCGGTGGACGGCCATGTGCCTGTTGAGGTTACTGGCGTGGTTGAACTGCTTGCCACAGCGTGGGCAGACAAAGAGGGGGTGGACGGAGCGGGCGTGCAGGGTAAGGGACTCCGCTGAGGGAAACGTGAGTCCGCAGGGGTCGCAGGAAATAGGGCCCCCGCTGGAGGAGGTGGACCCCACCACTGCCACAGACTCGGACTCTTCCCGGGCCGACGTCAGCCCCATGGCCTGACCTCTGCCGCTTTCCTCAAGTCTAAAATGAGCTGGTGAGTCCCCTAAACCTTGCTCTTCGACCACAGGGTCTCCCTGGGCATCGCTGATCCCATATGGAACCTGCGTAAGCTGTTCTGCTCCACTTTGCCCCAGGTCACAGCTGGATATGTACCCCACCGATGCAGATTTAATCCCCCCTTGGTTAAAATCAGAATGGACCAGTCCAAAGCTGCCCATTATCTCATCCGGTGTTGGTATATGCCAGTCGTCGGGATAATGCGGTCCTGAAAACCCCCTTTCCCGGTTGGTGTTGCGTCTTCTGTGGCGAAGCCCTCTTCCCCTGCCCCCCCGCTGTTCCCCATGCCTTCTCCTCCAAATTCTATACCCCTCTCTTTCCATTCTTCCAATCACATGCTCTGCTATCTCCTCTTCACCCTCATCACCAGTTTTCCCTCTTCCTGCAACCGTTTCCTGGAAATGGCTGTCCAGCGATACTACGGCGTCGTCGTCGTCTTCCTCCCCACGCTTCTCCTCATCTCCCTCTTCATCCTCCTCTATGCAGACCTGAAATACTTCATAGTCCTCCCTTTCCTCCTCTTCATGAAACTCCTCTGTGGGACCCGGTGGTTTTACCTACAGTAGGACGGAGAGGAAGATTGTATGTTTGCAAGATGCTTAAAAAACAATTAACTATTTAAACTCCATTTACTACTGAAAATTCACTAGCACTAGCTTAATACAATGTGTAAATATAGTATTTATAGTATTACTGTATTATACTATTTACAGCATGCAACAATTTTTCTTGCACATCACCTTGCACATTGCACATCACCTTGCACATTGCACTGCCACTACCTTTCATCATTATTATTATCCTTAATTACTGTTATAATTCTTTATTCTTCCTCTTATTATTATTTTGCATTGTGGTCTTTTGTATGTGTAACCTACTCGATCAATGATGTATCTATATCCTGATCTACACTGTTTTAAATCTGACAAAATACCACAATATCTATTCTGTACAGCACTGGAGAATGTAAGGATGTTTTTGGTTTATTTTTATATGCAAATTGACAGACCCAGCCAAAACAAATGTGTGCAAACACACACACACACACACACACAGATCTACCTTGAGCACAGAAACACTCTCATCAAGTGTGTCATCTTTGCACGAGCCAGTCTGAACGTGTGCGTCAGTACAAGCCTGGGAGCTTCTGTGGCTAGAAAGCTGCATTGACCCCAACTGGCCAGCGGGTGGCGATCTGATGCGCACAGGATGTCGGCCACTTTCGTAATCTGGCATAGCCTGATTCTCTTCTAGTTTTATGGTCTGAGAAATAGAAATAAATATGGGTATACTAGTAGGAAACAAAAATGAACATAAGTGAACAAAAAAATTCTCAGGCACTTATCTAAATTATGTACTAGTTATTGAGTATAGACATATCATGAAGTACACCAGTATTTGGCCCAGCTATACCTAAACCAGATATGTTCTGTATGTGTGTCAGAAAACACTGGTAGAGTAAACAGCATGAAGCTTGACTAACCCCAGAAGGACTGGGGGTCCTGGGCTGCAGATACTGGCTTAGGGCTCCTCGGCACTTTTCTACCACGTTCTCCATCTGCAGGTAGCTTGCAGCTGTCAAGTAGTTGACGATCTCTTTGGGGCTGAACTGCAGTATACCGGTATAGCATGACTGAAGCAGCTGACACACTACGCTGGCACTGTGCAGCACTGACACCTGGTGGACGAGAAGCATCATGACAGCAAACACATAACCAGGGACCTGATACTAAAAAGTTTTACTCCGTAACTGAGTAACTTAATCAATCCAGATATCAATATTTTTAAACTGGGTCATAAATGTCGAGTAATGTGCTGTATGCCATAGTCTTGTTGTTTAAAAGGTCCAGTGTTAGATCTCTCATAGATCTAATTTATCCATGTCTATGAACAATTAATATATCTTACAGATGCATAGTTCAATATTTTCTTTAACATAAATAACACACGAGACACACTTGCATACTATTGTTTACAAGCTATCACTCTGGAATTTATACAGTAGTTCAAATTATTTATGCTAACATTCAAAGTTTTCCAGTTGCTCGTTTTGTCATGACGGCGTCCGTACGTCGCTTGATGTACCTGTAATTCAGATGAAGGGTTCAGCAAAAACTGGTCCCTCAGAAAGGGGGAGCAGGCAGCCAGCACAACCTTGTGACCCCTGAACGTCTGCTGGTCGCTCGCCACTATGGTGATGTCACAGAAATGTTGTCGCGTCCGCAGGGAGTTCATATTTTGCAAGGTGGCATCGCCGTGCCCCGGTAATCGAAAACACAGCAATTCCATGCTACTTTGCAGCTGCAAGGGAAAAGGGGATTATTGAAGTTCTGCTATAATTATTGCCGTCATTACTTTAAAGGTATGAGAAAATAATGTTAATACAAATAATGAAAACAGCATTCAGTCAATACAGACGTTATCATAAGCACTGCCCGTAAATTTACTACGTTTCATTGTAGGTATCCCAGAACACGTAACTTTGTGCTTGTTGACATCAGTATTGCAAGAGTGGGAGCGGTTTTTGACCAAAACGACAAAAAAATAAAAAATAAAATACAGCGTCACGTTTATTATAACGACTAACTTGCATTTTAAAAGTTTTAGAGTAATATTTATCATAGAGCAGAAATTCTTCATTCATCACTTTGGATCAAATTCATTACAATTTCAGCATTCATCACTTTGGGCCAGATTGCAGCGAGCTAAAAAAAAAAACGACGGAGAAAAGCGCAAAATGTTTTAATGTGAATTGTACAGGTGGCCACGGTCGTCACGTCTTCAGACACAAAGACAGTCACGTTATCTGCATTATTAAATTTTGGGTGCTGGTAAACGGGCAGCTCCGGCCAGACCATCGCCAATGTCAACACGGAAGATAATTAGTTACCGTACTTATGGACGGATTCCTACCTACCTTTACAAATCTGTGTTGTCTCGACGACGTTTTATTCTTCGATATTGTCCACCTCCACAGGGGAAATAGCTACCGATCTGGAGACCCGGCCGACAAATGCAATCCCACCGCTTGTATCTACCAACCTAAGTTTACCCTCCTATATTATAAAGTAGCTAAACATCAGTAACAGTTATTGTGCCTAATATTCACAATCTTTACTCGGCGAACAGTTTTAGTGCTGACCGGATACACGCTTCACACGGAGGGGCAAATGTTACTTTTCGTGAGTCGGTGGCTAGCACAGGCTAGCCATTAGTATCCCCCTTTCCGATTAATCGAGTTTTATTCAACGTGGCTTCCCCAAAAACGGTTAACTGAAATATGCACGCATCGTTGTGAGTAAACGTGGGTACCGAATGGCTTTATTTATGTTCTCCTTCGGTCCAGTTTTCGCTGGTTTGTACGGATACTTCCTCTGCGAACCGCGCTAGCTGGTCACATCTTAAAGGGGAAGGCGCCCGCGTTCACGGCCACGTTCGGCCGAGATAATCAACTTTCCCTGTTCGCTCCGTGCTCAACTAATACACACGCCCTGCTTATTCAACACGGTGACACTTCTCGTGTAGCTACGCCAGAAATAAATTATAGGGGATCATATACAATGACATGTTTGAAATGCTAATATTTTGAGATACTTTTCATTCAGTGCGTATGTTATTCTTTCACCGTTAGGTAAAATACACAATATCTGCTTTAGAATATTTAGAATATACATAAGCGTTCTGTGTGCACTATGGAGATTAAAAAAAAATTATGAAAATCTATGGATTCAGTTCCAAGCCCCTAATATGCTCCACCTCTGTAAATAGTTTGTAGATTCCGCCCTCTTAATTCAAAGAGATGTGGTTTGAGCAACTTGAAATTGACCCTAGCCTGTATGAATTGGCATCCAGGATGTACACTGCGCTTCACGGGAACGTTCCAAGTTCATCCGGCATTGCATGAATACTTTCAGAAGGAAATGCCTTTACTTCTCAACGACACAATAGCCTCTTGTTTCTGTTAGATTCAATCGGCTCACAGAAAACTTGATTCAACACACAGCCCTAGGTGCTCTATACCGTGAAATTTACAGATGCTTAAAATAGGCGCATCGTTACAACAATTACAGCAGAAAAGGGCTAATGTTACACTACGAAAAAATATTTATCTCCGATAGGTATTTATTTGCAACACTTTCGGTAATACTTACTATTTGTATTATTTTAATAGACACCCATCATCATGTGGCAGGAATGGGCGCTCGACGTCATACTCATGCTCTAGAAGCCACAGCCAATCAGCGTTGTGAGGGGCGCGGAAAGAACGTCGACGCACATACGTCATGCCTGTAACAGCCGATTATCCCACTGAGGCTCGAGAGATCATGTCGGCGGATGAGCGCTCCGGCGAGGTAGGGGCTATAATGAATAAAAAGGGCGCACACGTTTTACTTTACTGTTGCGCCTGTTTACTTTAGCGCCCGTCCGTGCACTTTCTTTTTGCAGTGCTTTAGAACTGTTCCGAGGTGGGCTGTGACAGCTAGCCCGTTAATGGATTTTTGGCTAATTAGCTAGCTAGGTACTTTGAATTGCGGTGCTGCTTGGTGCCTAGCTAGCTTCACACTTGACTTTCCTGGTGTTGATGCGCTTGTCCTGTGGATGTCTTTAACACAACGTTATTCTTTTGTCTGGCAGCAGTTTTCCCATTTAGCTAATAATTCGGGCATGCGCTTTTTCCTGGTACAATTTTGTATGCGTTCATTTTGATAGTATATCATTTTTTTGTGACAGTGAATCACAAAAACCCTGCGCTGTCCTTCATCCAAATGGTATTTTTCTACTTATTTGGTGGTATTGCTTGCTACATTGATAAATAATATTTGACAGCAACGATCATTTTTGGTCCAGCAGACTGTAAATGCACTGCCGGAATTAACTTGCGCATGGATATCACTGTGCAATAAAACCTTGGATTGCGAGTAACTTGGTTTGCGAGTGTTTTGCAAGACGAGCAAAAATTTTAAAGAATTTTTAACTTAAACGAGCGAGGTCTTGCAATACGAGTACGTATACGCTTCATGTGCCGAGCGTCACGTGATCTGAGCCGATAGTTCTCTCTCAACAATTTAATTTGTGTCCAAGTATAGTGACTTTTCTTTAGTAACTGTACTGGAACAATGGCCCCCATCAAGAAAAAGGTTGAAAAGGAAGGCGGTAAGAAGAAGGAGATGATTACGGTGGAAGTTAAGAAGGAAATCATCGAGAAGCACGAACGACGTATGCGAGTGGCCGACATTGCAAGATTTTATAACAAATCTACGTCGACGATTTGCACAATATTAAAGAAGAAAGAAGAAATAAGGGGGCTAGATGCAGCAAAAGGAGTCACGAGAGTATCAAAGCAACGGCCACATGTTCTGGAAGATGTAGAAAAGTTGCTTCTTGTGTGGATAAATGAGAAGCAACTAGCAGGTGATACTGTAACGGAGACCTTCATCTGCGAGAAGGCAAAGACCTTGTACACCGACCTCGTAAGTAAACTGCCAGGTACATCGACAGAAAACGAAGGCTTCAAGGCGAGCAGGGGATGGTTTGATAACTTTAAGAAGAGAAGTGGCATCCATAGTGTTGTGAGGCACCGAGAGGCTGCGATTTCGGACGCTAAGGCAGCTGAGGCGTTTGCTGTTGAGTTCCAGAAGCTCATGGTTTCTGAGTGTTACCTGCCGCAGCAAGTTTTTAACTGCGATGAGATGGGGCTTTTTTGGAAAAAGATGCCAAAGAGGACCTACATTACAGCAGAAGAGAATGCGATGCCCGGTCACAAGCCCATGAAAGACCGTCTCACCCTCTTGCTGTGTGCTAATGCAAGCGGGGATTTCAAAGTCAAGCCCCTGCTCGTGTATCATTCCGAGAATCCACGAGCCTTCAAGAAATGCAGGGTGCAGAAGAACCAGTTAAACGTTATGTGGAGGTCCAACCGCAAGGCTTGGGTCACTCGTATCTTGTTCATTGAGTGGATCAATGAGGTCTTTGGTCCTGCAGTGAAGAAATACCTTTTAGAAAAGAATCTGCCACTCAAAGTCTTGCTAGTTATGGATAATGCTCCTGCTCATTCTCCAGGCCTTGAGGATGACTTACTGGAGGAATTCGAGTTCATTAAGGTCAAGTTCCTTCCTCCCAACACCACTCCACTACTCCAGCCCATGGATCAGCAGGTCATTTCGAACTTTAAAAAGCTTTACACCAAAGCTCTATTTCAGCAATGCTTCGAGGTGACTGAAGGAACAAACCTTACCCTCCGAGAGTTTTGGAAAAATCATTTCCACATAGTGAACTGCCTCAAGATCATCGATAAAGCCTGGGATGGGGTCACCAAGAGAACCCTCAATTCTGCTTGGAGAAAACTGTGGTCTGATTGTGTTCTTGGACATGGCTTTGAGGGGTTTGCTCATGAACAGGAGCCACCAGTTGTCAATGAGATTGTGTCTTTGGGGAAGACCTTGGGGCTGGAGGTGAATGAGGAAGATATTCAAGAGCTGGTGGAGGAGCATGGCCAGGAGCTGACCACCGACGAACTGATGGATCTGCGTCGCGAGCAACAGCAAGAGGTTATGGAGGAGATCTCGTCTGAGGAGGTGGAGAAAAATACGGAGGAATCCTTCACTTCAAATGAGATTAGGGAGATGTGTAAAATGTGGGAAAGAGTGAAAAATAGTGTAGAAAAGCTCCACCCGAATAAGGCTGTAGCAGTGCGAACGATGAATTTGTTTAATGACGATGCAATGTCACATTTTCGCGAAATCCTCAAAAGGAGGCAAAAGCAACAGTCATTAGATAGGATCCTTATTAAAGTTGCACAAAAAGAAAAGGGATTCTGTTAGTTATACAAATTAACTCTCCTCCGCTCCTCTCTCTCGTCTCCCTCACAGCAGCCACGACAGATTGACAGATTTTCAAAGGTAAAGTGCAGGTTAATTTGTTTAATGCATTTTTACTTTGTTTTGTATTAATCATAAAATACGCTTTGATATACGAGTGCTTTTGATTACAAGCACATTTCCGGAACAAATTATGCTCGCAATCCGAGGTTTTACTGTATTAGCAAATGGTTTATGTACCACTGTGCCAGTGTCTGGTAGCCTATATTATCTTATTAAACTGGCTTTGTGTTTAAACAATTTTCTAAATCACTCAAGTGAGTCCTGGTTAGAATCTGGGGTTTTGATTGCCGTACCGATCTGTTTTCCTCACATACTTCCTAATAAGGTTTTATTGAGTGACGGGCAGACCACCTGAATGTTTTCTTTCTCCTTATGCCGAAGCAACGTGGCCACATTTTCCTGAGTTTTAATCGCTATGTCACTGTGCCTGATATTTGGCACCCTCTTCTTCCAGGGCCTCCTGAAAGACAAGGTACCATCTGAAGACAAGGTAGCAGAGCCAGATCCGAATGTTGTAACACCGACACTACAGACGAATGCAGGCAAGGATCCACGGCCTATTTAAATTCTCAGCTGACACAACATTAAAACATAAAGGGACATAAATAGGAGGTGGATAGCACATCACAAACCTATAGCTGTCAAGGAGCCAACTAGGTATAAGTGCAGCTAGGATGAGCTTCCAATGAGGGACCAGTAAGAGGTGCAAGTTAGCATTGAAGCAAGAGCTATGCAAAGCATACAAGTATCCAGTATTGATGAGACCCTACCTAAGCAGAGGTGGACAATTCAGGTCTAGATAGTAAAAATCCAGACCAAGACTTTGTTTCAACCAACCAGTTGAGTACTCTGTGACTCTGTCCGTTTATGCTCAACTGGTTGGTTGAAGCAAAATCTTGATCTGGGCTCTTACCTTCTGGACCTGAAATGTCCACCTCTTTACCTAAGGGATAGCAGATGAAGACTGAGCAGGTCAGAGGTTGGATGTGCTAGTTTAGGTCTTCCAGGAAACCATGTGTCTTGACATTTTTTGAAGGAACATAAGACTCCAGTAAAATGTCAATGCAGATAGGTTTTTAACAATCTGCTCTGCCAGGGTTTCTCAACCCAGTGCTCGGGGAGCACCAGACGGTCCACATTTTTGCTCTCTCCCAATTGCCAGGAATTTGGAGAGAGCGAAAACGTGGACCGTTTGGTGCTTCCCGAGGACTGAGTTGAGAAACGCTGTGCTATGCCATCATTTGTTCTTTATTAATACTGATTAATATTTGAACAATCCTGGTTTAATGCACTATTATATATTTTGGGTGATTACTCATTCTGGTGAATGAGTGTTATAATTCATAATGGGCATTAATTCAAAGGTTGGGTTCCACAGTTAGCACATGAAGGCCTCGTCCACACGGATGTTCGAAATGAACGCCCTCTGAATGCCATACGTGTTTTTCCTGCGTTTTGTAGCTGCGTTTGATTGGCGTTTCACTGGCGTTCGCTTGACGCTGTTTAACACCAGCCTGACGCCCAATTTGTAGTCTCGTGTATTTACCTGTGGGGGCAGTAATTACTCTTAAGGTTTCTAATGTATATTTCGAGATTTAAACAAGATGACGAAATCACATTGTAAAGTTCTAGTTTTACATTTAAAAATTACATTCAAACGTGCATAATTTGCGTCTTTCATTTTCAGTTTTTTTGTGATTTTTTTTTTTTTTGGGTTCGGTGTGTGTGTGTTTCAGCCGCCGTTTACTGAGTATGTCGCACGGGTAATAAGTAGCCAAAGTTATGCTGTACTCTCGAATCCATCCGTAATTGTTAACACATTTATTCATCCTAATCTCATATTTGGGAGTTCTCTGACAGCTGAGCCTGGTGGGGTTGTGGTTTAGTGAAAAAATAACATTATAAAAATGGATCCTGATTCTGATTCCTTCAGTATTGATGACAAGCATGCTTATGACTGTTGAAGCTCACAGTCGGTGTCATCTAGGTGAGCTGTATGGTACAGCAGTGGTTCCCGCGGAGACGAAGCCCATGGGTGGCTTGTTGTCGTCACAGAAGGAGGCGGAGAAAGAAGGAGTGAAGGAGGATGAGGAAGGGGGCAAATCTGGAGCCTCCGCCACAGCATCGGGTAAAGGTCTGACAGGTATTTCTGCGTGTTGTCCTGTGCCGTGTGTCAGTTCCCGAACAGCGACCCCATCATTCACCTCTGTGTTTTGCTGATACCTTTCGCAGGCCATGCAGCCAAGACTCTTCCTCCCTCCTCTTCGTCACCCTCGCTGTCCTCGTCACCCGGCAGAGCAAAGATGAGCCTCTCTGGTCCGGCCAGTAAATCTGTCGCAACCCCGTTCCCGTCGTCGTCCCCTGGCTCCTTGGTCACGTGTGTGGCCCCCCAGCCCAAAATCCACCGGGCGCGTAAAACAATGAACAGACCGCCCCCGACGCAGGTGAGTCCGTCACTTTTGGTTATATCAAGTCAAGTCACTTTGTTTTTTCATGTGAAATGAAATTGCGTTCCTGTGGAGCAACAATTGTGGGACAAGCACTGAAAGATATATGCATTGTGGAGAATTACTAAAGAAATAAGTAAAAATAAAAGAATTAAAATGAAAATTGATTAATAAGTACACTATGTACCACAACAGCAATGACAGTCTAAATAATACAAGTAAACAGTGCATTTAAACATTGCAGATAACCGTAGTAGTGCAGTGCAAATTAGTGTTTTTCAGCATTTATGGGGTAGATGGGAGTAGTCTGGGAGAGAAAAACTTTTTCAGAGCCTGGTGCTGGTTGATGGAATGCTCCGGAACCCTTTTCCATTCAAGATATTTAATTGTGAAGCATCAGTTTTTTACTGTTCTAGTCAGGTTAGTTCTGAAGTTACATCTAAGCTGTGGTCCTACCAGCGTTCCCTTCTCTTCCAGGGGAGGTGTTTGGAGTCGCCCTTCGCGCCGGCTAAGCCAGTGGACCCTAACTCCAGTGCCGCCCCGGAGGCTGATGCAGGTCGGGATGGTTAAACAGCTTTGGAACTGTTTAAATGTGATGGTAAACTTGCCATCCTTTTGTTTGGTTTCGACCCTGCGTTCTGCCTGAGAGGTGTGAGCCACACAGGTGAGGTACCTGTGAGAGGCACTAGGAGGCCGGACCCAGGGAGAACGACATGGAGCAGGTCTGTGACACTTGTTTGTTTTCAGCAGTGAAGAAACGCAAAGTGGGCCCCAATTCGGACTCCCAGGCGCTGCCCACCAAGCGGACAGAAAACGGTGCTGAGGCAGCAGTAGAGGTGACTGGAGGGGGGCATCTGAGGCTGGGGGGGCAATATCGTGGAGAGCTAGCGCTGTCTGATGGGGGGCGTATGAGGCCGGGGGGGCAATATCGTGGAGAGTTAGCGCTGTCTGATGGGGGGCGTATGAGGCCGGGGGGGGAGCATCGTGGAGAGTTAGCGCTGTCTGATGGGGGGCGTCTGAGGCCGGGGGGGGACATCGTGGAGAGTTAGCGCTGTCTGATGGGGGGCGTCTGAGGCTGGGGGGGGGGGACAATAAATGAGAATTAAGTCACATCTGAATGTTTAATGTGCCACATATGTCTTTCCTACCTTATGCTTTCTTAGATTTTCAAAATTAATATCTTTTAAATAAAATGTTGTTCCCTGCAGATTTTAATAATCTGAGAAACTTAAGTGGTGAGTTGGTTGCACAGATACAGCATTGACATTTTACTCTCCCCATATTTCAGGTGGTGGACACTCCCCCTGCACCGGCAAAGGCCGGGCCGGTGACAGAGCAGCAAGCTGATTGGCTGGTGCCCTGGGATGGGGATGGCATTATGTACAACTACCAAGACACCGAGGGGGGGGACTCTGACAGCAAGGTGATGCCTGTTCCCTTTACGGGCTCTTGATGAGCATGTAGTGCTAACAAGGTCTTTTTCTGTGCTTTAGGATGGAGGTATTTTTATTCAGTCCCAGACCACTGATCCAGAAGTTGAGTATGGGCAGATATGCAACAATTTCCTGTGATATACCTAGAAATTGTGGGGCCCCTGACAAAATGTCACCCCCCCCCCATTTTACAAATTAAAGGATCCCTGTCTTATGCACTTATGGGACAAAAATGGTCTGAGGGCAGAAGGAAAAATGACAGGTTCAAAGTGAAGACATCTGATTGATTGATCCCGCCTCCTCTAGTTGCTTGGACCCACCTCCTCTACAATCTGATTGGTTATCTCTCTGAACCTGTCATTTTTCCTTCTGCCCTCAGAACGTTGTTCTGTAAGTTAAACTCCTGTGAGCGTCATGCGCTGGGTCCTTCCGTGGTGTCTACCTCTCTCCATCACCCCTGACATTCTCCATCCACCTTTTCTCTGTCCATTGCAGTCTGGGGATGGAACAATCGAGGCCCGTTTGAGCGAAGGTGATGTGGAGTCTGGAAACTTGTCTGATCGTGTGAGTAGATTTCTCATGTTGGGGGGTGGGAATCGCCAACCATAAAACACTACTGATTAGCGTAGTGTCGGGAAACTGTGTGCTACTACAGAGCTGATTACTTGCAGGAAGTTACACAAACCAGCCTGACTCCCTAAAGAGAGTTAAGGGCATAATTCAAGAGGTGTCGGTCTGTGTTCCAGTCTGTGTTCCACACGGTGTGCTGTTTGCAGTGCCTTCTGCAAAATAACTAGCTGTAGAAACGTGTAAAATTGTTACTTTGGATAAACCATTGGCTAATTAAGTTAATTTATAATATTACATTATACAATATATTACTTTTATTGATCCTCATGGGAAAATTCTCTCCTTGCCTACCCCATCCTGCTCTCCCTGACACACAGACACATATGTAGGTGAGAACAAATTTGGCAGTGATGGGCAGCCACCTGCAGTAGCAGCCATGGAGCTGGGGCTTAAGGGCCGTACTGAAGGGCCCACAGAGATGTGAATATTCTGCCAAAGCCGGGCTTGAACGGGCGACCTTTCTGATCAGAGATCAGATCTGATCTTAGCCTGCAGAGCCACACATGTTGCAAATAACAAATAAGTTGTCTGTTGTTCAACATAATATTGGCTGTGGTGTCTCAGTCCTGCTGGTTTTGGAAGCTGCTTTTCTGCATCTGTATTGTTTTGCAGTGCGGATGAGCCCCCGCACCCAAGAATGGAGGCCATCTGTCCCACGTGCCGTGGCATTTGGGCATCGTGTGTGCCTGTCTCTCCGTGCGGTCCAGGTCTGCTTATCGGCCAAATGTGGTTTGTCTGTAGAGCTCGGGGTCCGAGAGGCAAACAGGGAAGTGGAAAGAAGGTGGCAAGTCTCCGTGGACCAGGCCAGGGCGAAGGAAAAGGAAAGAGAGACTGAGGGAGGAAGAGACTGAGATGGAGATGGAGGAAGGTAAGAAAGTGACAGATTATTGATCCCATTGGCTGCAGTTTGTGTGGGTATCAGGTGAATGTCCCTGTTCTGCCTATGACTGCTGAAACATTGCCTTTTTCCTCCCCAGTAGTGTCCATAGCAGCCTCTGCTCCAGCTGCAGCGCCACCTGCTGGAATCTCCAGTGAATACACGGAGGTTCCCCTGGGCTCCCTCGACATCTCCGCTGCCGACAGCCTGACTCTCTCTCCCCACCAAGGTTATACCTTCTCCCACATGCCCATGTGTGCCATTGATAACCGTAACTGGCATATAAATGTTTTAGGTAGAATTAATAGCACTTGACTCAGACACAGGCAATGAAATTATGCATATTTGGCATCTACTTCGGTGCATCGTTGTGTCCAGATATGTGCGTGTGAATGGCCCTAATGTGTGCTGTTCCCACCCGACCAGCAGAGGACAGCGAGGCCGGGGACACGGAGCGCCTGGAAGAGCTGCCCTTGTGCAGCTGCAGGATGGAGGCTCCCCGTGTGGATGGCCTGAGTGGCCGGGGGGGGCGGCTCTGCATGGCCACGGAGAGCATAAACGGGGAGGTGAGTAAGGGTGGGGACATATGGCCGGATTGGGGCCAGTGTCGCTGTACTTCCAGGCTCACAAGCCTGTTCGAGACTCTGATTAGCCCGTTTTGTCTTTAAAGGGTGTCAGGTAACGTGGGAGTTCATCAATATGTGCCCTTGACCGTGCATGTGTTCTCCAATGCCGATTTCACATCATTTTCCATTGCCCAAGTACAGTTCCGATACTAAGAACAGAAGGATGGTAAAAATCCCTGAATGTCATTCTTGCCCCACCCAAATGTCAAGGATGCATCAGTTGCATCCTCACCAGATGAGAACAATCCCATGATTCACTGCATCCTCGTGTTCTTGTAAGTTCTTGTGAGAACGAACCAAAAAGAATGTTCTTTGCGTGCCTGGTATTGATAAACACCCAGTGACTGACGATAAGCTTCCAATATAGCTGTGCTGGTTTACGCTACCAGGCTAATGTACGTCATTTGAATCTCCACCGAAAGTCCAGCTGCGTAAGTCAAGAAGCTATCAAAACATAAAGTAGATCACGGCCATCCAGGTTGTCTGCTAAGTTACTAAAGTAAATGGCAGATAAAGGGGGCGACCTGTTGTGATGTATGCTGTATACAAGCTTTAATCGTGACATTGGACCCCTGCCTGTGTGGTACGGCAGCTGGTGGGCTGTACCAACACCATCGTGAAGGGGGAGACGATGCGGCCCTCCAGCAGGGTCTCCCTCATGGTGCTGTGCGAGAATCACCGATCCCACATGGTGCAGCACCACTGCTGCCCGGGCTGCGGCTACTTCTGCATCACGGTATGGGGG